AATTAACAATTATTATTAATTTAAAATATTAAATTTATTTAATTAAAATTAATAACTAATAATTATTTTACAAAATTAATACAAACACCCCAATACATCTTATAATCATTGTTAAAGGATAAACTCTTTAATTTTTTTTTTAGGTACATCAGCAATTAAATTAACAACTAATCTCTTAGGAACAGATAAACTCTTTAATATTTGTTGAGTGGTATATTTTACAATGAAATATAATAAGAATTATGAGTGATTTAAATATAAAAAAAAGGCTACTTTAACTATTATTAGTTTGCTTTTAATTAAATACAATTTTTTTTTATTTTTATAGTATTAAAGTAATTTAATTTTTTATTAATAATTATAAATTATATAATCTGTATATTATATATGACAAAGTGGCTCTCTCTTTTAAAATTACTTATGGTATTATGACATTTAATTAAAAAATAAAAAATAAAAACACCCAAACTTAGCAAAACTTTATAACTTCTATAGGGCTCAAGTTGAGCCGAAGTAGCTAATACCGTTCAAGTTTAGGTTGCCTTTGGTGCAACTTTTTAAATACTTCAGTTTTTTTATATTATTTATATTTTATAAATTTAATTTTTTTTTAAATTTATATTTTTAAATATTTTTTAATTTTAAAAGATTTTAAACAATAAAAAATTAAAATTTTCAAATTTAAGTGTTTTATAAACTTTTATTTTATTTATTTTTACTCATTTTTTTATTTTTAAAAATAATTTTTAAATTTTTTAATAAAAATTTAAATTTATTATTTATAAATAATATAAAAAATAAAAATAAAAACTTCAACAAACTACACCAAAGATTACCTTTAGCCACTTTGTGCTGACAGGTTGGCAACAAAACGGCAAACCGTATTGACAGATACGTATGTATATCTGAGTGATGAGTACTAGTTGGACAACATGCGGCAGTTGGTACAGATTTATATTCACAATTCCATCCAAGTAAAAAATATTTATTAGTAGGTTAAAACTCCTTTTTGGTCCTTGGACTATTGTACGGACCCCCGATTTGGTCCCTAAACTAAAAATATCCCTGATTTGGTCCCTACTGTTTACCATTTTTACCCCGATTTGGTCCTTCCGTCAAATATCAACCTACGTGTCCCGTTTCTTGACGGAAAATG